TCACTCACTATACATCAGATAATCCATATGGGGGGGAAGCCATACCAATGTGATGTATGTGGGAAGGTCTTCAGTCAAAATTCAAATCTTGCAAATCACAGACGAATTCACACTGGAGAAAAACCATACAGATGTAAAGAATGTGGCAAGTCCTTTATTCAAAGTTCCAACCTTGCAACTCATCAGAGAATTCATATTGGAGAGAAACCTTACAAATGTAATGAGTGTGGCAAAGCTTTTAAACAGAGCTCATGCCTCACCACACATCAGATAATCCATACAAGACAGAAATCATATAAATGTGATCTATGTGGCAAGGTCTTCAGTCAAACATCACATCTTGCAAAGCACCGGAGAATTCATACTGGAGAGAAACCTTCCATATGTAAGGAATGTGGCAAAGTCTTCAGTCAAAATTCACATCTCACTAGGCATCATAGAATCCATATTGAAGAGAAGCCTTATAAATGTAGTGAGTGTGGCAAAGCCTTTAATCTGGGCTCATTACTCACTAGACATCAGATAATTCATACAAGAAAGAAACATTACCAATGTAACGAGTGCAGCAAGGTCTTCAGTCACAACTCATCCCTAGCATGCCATCCAGGAATTCATACTGGAAAAAAACCTTACAAATGTCATGAATGTGGCAAAGCTTTTAATTGGTGGTCACTCCTCACTAGACATCAGATAATCCATGTGAGAGAGAAACCACATAAATGTGATGTATGTGGCAAGGTGTTCAGTGAAAGTTCCCGCCTTGTAAGACATTTGAGAATTCATACTGGAGAAAAACCTTACAAGTGTAATGAGTGTGGCAAGGTCTTCAGTTACAGTGCAAACCTTTCAATTCATAGAAGGATTCATACAGGAGAGAAACCTTTCAAATGTCATGAATGCGGCAAGGTCTTCAGCTACTACTCATGCCTAGCACATCATTGGAGAATTCATACTGGAGAGAAGCCTTATAAATGTAATAACTGGCAAAGCCTATAGTGAACGTTCAAGCCTTACTAAACATCAGGTCATCCATACTGGAGGGAAACCTTACAACTGTAATGAAATCGACAAGGTTTTTATCCAAAGTTCAAAACTTACAAGACATCGCAGAAACTTTACTGGGGAGAAACCACACAAATGTAGTGAATGTGGTAAAACTTTCATTCATAGGGCCAGCCTGCTGTACCATCAGAGAAGACATACTGGAGAAATGCCATACAAATGTATTGAATGTGGCAAGGTCTTCAATTCCACTTCAAACCTTGCAAGTCATCGGAGAATTCATACTGGAGAGAAACCTTACAAATGTAATGAATGTGGCAAGGTCTTCTGTCATCGCTCACCCCTGGCACATCATCGGAGTATTCATACTGGAGAGAAACCTTACAAATGTAATGAGTGTGGCAAAGCCTTTAGAGTGCATTCAATCCTAGTTAATCACCAGGTAATGCATACTGGAGTGAAACGTTATAAATGTAATGAATGTGGTAAAACATTTATCCAAAGATCATCAGAGGAATCATACTGGAGAGAAGCCATACAAATGTACTGAATGTGGAAAGGCCTTTGGGCAGTGGTCTTACCTCAATAAACATAAAAGAATTCATTCTGGAGAGAAACCTTATAAATGTAATGAGTATGGCAAATCATTTGTTAGCCATTCAGACCTTACTAAACATCAGATAAAACATACTAAGAGAAACTTACAAATACACTAAATGTGACAAGGCCTTTAAACTTTGTCCTAACTTCTGGGTTCACCAAATAATTCAAACTTATATATGCAGCAAATATAGCTTAGTATGTATTATTCACTAGACATAAGAATATACATCTTAGAAAGTAATCACAGAAATATGTATAGGAAGAATTATCCCTAGAGGTCAAAAGTCATAATCTAGGGTGGTGCCTGTGGCTCAAGGAGTAGGGCACCAGCCCCATATACCAGAGGTGGTGGGTTCAAACCTGGCCCTGGCTAAAAACTGCAAAAGAAAAAAAAAAATCTACAGAGAATTCAAAGTGCAGAAATGTTATATAGATGAATGTGGCAAAACCATTAGCCATGTTCACTCATTACTTGACAGGAGTGAGTTCATACTGAAGGGAAATCGTATAAGTGGTAGAGGCTTTCCTCAGGGATCACAACTCACTAGACCTCAGAATATACATGTTTGAGAGAAGCCACACAAATGTAATGTGCATGCCAACCATTTTACCCAAAGATCAAAACTGAAACATCAGAGTATCCTGGAGAACAACCTTACAAATGTAATGTATGTGGTAAGGCATTTACTCAAGTATTCACACCTCAGGGGCTGAGAGAATTCATATAATAAGGGAAATCATACAAATGTGCTGAACATAGGAAAGCTTTTAAGTAGCTGTTATTGAGCTTCACCAAATTATTCATACAGGAAAGAAACCTTATAAATGTAATGAATATGGTAAGTTTTTAAACCAAGTTGTAACATTTACACATACTAGGAATAACTAAGTCTACTTTGTCAAGATTGACTTAAAACATTACATGTTGCAGAGCAACTATAAGTCAAAATATGTTAAAAACTCATGGCATTATGTAAATCAGATGCAAGAGTATGTGTGGAAATGTCCAGTTATCTTCAGTTTATAAAATACAGTATTCAGTTTGAGGTTTTGTGAAAAGCCTACTTTGCTATTTATGACTTGCATTCTTAAGCTTGAATTCTATTAATAATATACCTTACATGCCTTTCATTGTGATTTCTGGGAATGAATCAATAAAATGAGAGGGCCCACTTCATTCAGTGTGGTTCCTTCATGTCCATGTCCTCAAGATTGAGGACACTGAATTTTAAAATCCTTATTGTGTCAATTAAACAGCATGGGGTATGAATAGAGAATAATACAAATTCCTGTTGTAAGTCAGTATTTTCCAACCTGTTTTATCTCAGCACACTTGAACCTATAGTTAAACCTCTGCAGAACACTTAAATTGTGTTGATCAAAAAAAAATACTGTGCTCTGAACTTCTTTTGAAAATAATTAAAGATCTTTAAGGAGTGTTTTTGTTTGTTTTTGAGGCATAGTCTCTTTTGGTCACCTTTGGTAGAGTGCCATGATGTCTTAGCTCACAGCAACCTCAAACTCTTGGGTTCAAGGGATCCTCTTGCCTCAGCCTCCCTAGTAGATGGGACTACAGGCGCCTGCCACAATCCCCAGCTATTTTTTAGAGACAGGGTCTTGCTCTGGCTCAGGCTGGTCTCAAACATGGGAGCTCAGGCATTCCCCCGGTCTTGGCCTCCCAAGTGCTAGGATTATAGGCATGAGCCACCATGCCTGGCCTGATCTTTAAAATTTTTAGTGGCATACTAAGATCCTCTCAGTGCATACCAGTGTGCCACAACACACCAGTTGAAAGTCACTGGTGTAAGTCATGCTTACTATGTTCAGGGTGTCCTTTTCCAGACAAAGGACCACTAAAGGGTTATAGGAAACAATTGCCCGATCAACTGAAAGAGAATGGAAAAGGTCATTAATACCTGAGGATTTTCATCCAGTGATGTGATAGATTGATTATGTGGTTAAAAATAGTGCAGGGAAAATGGTGACCACCTCCATTGGAAGGAAACTGTTCTATATCAAAGATAAATGAAAAACTCGTCTTATTTTTGGAAATTGAAGAGTGTAGTTATCAGGAGAATTTAATCTGAAGAACTAGAACAGCATCTTCACAGGTGGGATTCACATTTAACAGCTGGCTTTATATTTTAATGCTGTTTTATTCAGAACATATCATGGGTCTCATGGCCAAACGAAATATAGTCATCTTTTCATAATTTAGTCTCTTTCCTTCTACCAACCCTGTTTTATCCCACCTCCTTGGCAAGGTGCTTTATAACAAATACCAATGGTGTGCCATTAGACACTCTAGTAGTTGAAATAATCTGTAACATTTTTTTCACATGGTGGAATTAGAAACAACGTGTTTTTCTGAAGACAGTAGTCCACCTTTATTTGTGGTGGGATTTGTTACAAGAACGCCAAAGGATGCTTAAAACTGCAGAATACTGCTGAACCCTATATATGGTTTCAGTAAAATTTGGAGATGCGATACCAAAATGCACAAATTTCTTTTTCACATTGTCATGTGATAGATGATTCATTCTTACCTTAAATCTTACCAGCCTCAGCATATGATTTTTTTTCTTAATAAGTCAAGAAATTCAACTTTTTCATTTGGAAGCATTTTATACCTTCTCTTTGATGTAGCAAAATTGCCAGCTCCATTAATTTTCAGCTTTGGGGCCATATTAAGTGGAATAAGGGTTACTTGAATACATGCACTGCAGTACCACAGCAGTCTAGATCAAGACATGGCCCTAATGTCTTTAGAAGTAACCTGCCACTTG